GTGCGCACAAAACGTCGGCGTCAGAAAAATGGCGAAAAAACGTCACGCGGCAATTTCCCACGCCGCGTGCGCTTCAGGAGGATAGTGACAAAAACCGGGGTTAACTCCAAAGAAACATGTGACAAAATTATTTTCTTAATAACCTTAAGAACTGTTTCAAATTATACGAACCTATAATAACGTGCAAATACGCCTCGCTAGCTCTTTGTTTGTTTGTTTCCGTAGGAAAGAGGTCAACAAGAACCAAAACAAAAAGAGGCACGAGCAGCTCGGAGCAAGCATGCCTAAACCGCAAACAAATGATTGCGCGTAATAAAATAAAAAAAAAAAAACCTGTTTGCTTTTTTATTACAATTTGTTTTACGGTTCTGAAGGCTCACCAACCGACATTACTGTTGAACGGTGAGCCGGCCTCAGTAGATACAACAAATCAACTTTGCCGCCGACAACTCCGCGCGTGCACGCCGCTCTCAACCTCCGCCTCGTTTCTCCTGTTTGTATGTCAACGTATATGTTGGTTTACCAGTGAGCGGAATTTTGACTGACGTCTAGCTGATTACCGAACACGCAGCGAACTAAGGGAGCTTTCACGCAACGTCCTTACCCGGTGCGGCACCACTTCCGGTATGGCTGCCAAAGGAGAGTCATTACTGCTGAGTGAGCTGCGGTTGACACCGCGTGATCCATTAATCCGGATTAATTCGGTCGAGCTACCGTGGACCGCAAGTCACCGGGGCGGAGGTCAGATCGCCTAGGCAACTCGCGTGCACAACGGCTCGTCTGAATCCCGAGAATACTCGAGCGAAGCGACAAGTCTTCTTCCAATCAGTTCATCTGTAATTAACCGGTATTCAGATTTTTTGTATCTATATTTCAAGATAAAAATTAAAAAGAAGCAGATTCGCTCGTTCATGGCCGGGCTCTGTGGCCGAGTGCGTGAACGTAGTACCTTGGCGCGCTGCACGTGAAGCGAAAGTTAGAGCACTGCACGCTCCAACGTCAAGTACACATATCCTCACCCCTGCCGTGTTTCGATATAGCAAGGCGCTGTACTCCGGTGCAATCGCGTAATCATTATTACCGGACACACGTTCAAAATCAAATGTTAACAGCCGTACGGCACTGCGAGTAATCGCATTTCAAGGCGAGCTCCAAGCTGCATAACGTAGTATCTATAGCCCCTTCGGGTGCAGCAACTGAGGTCAAGTAATAGTTATCTACGATAATTATTGATACCTAACGTTTGTACATTATTTATTGGGGTTTGATAGGAGTTTTATCGCGGGTAATAAAACGCTATTACAATATGGTAAACTCGATGTGCTATACGTTATAGCCCAAAGACGACAATAATAAAAAAGAAAAACATACGCTATTACGCATGCGACTTTTACCAGGCAATACGCCAGCGTTGATTCTGCCTCGGGCCTGTTCTAACTAAAGTCACGTTCTAACTTGCCGGCATGCGTATTGTCTGTCGGCGAGATCTGACAGTCGAGCGCGCTGCGTCCAAAACCGGAAATGCACGATCCCTTCTAACCTACGTTTTCACCTTTTCAACCGTAATGAAAAAAAGTTCGGTCCTTGGCGAAGTGTTACTAATTTCCCCTTTTATGTAGAGAATTAAGATATTCGGCTAAAAATTTAAGCTCAACGATTCGTTATTTTATCAAAACGTACACGTTTCAAAAAATAAAACTTTTTTTTTTTTTTTTATTATGAGAATCAAATTTTGTGCGAACTATATGATGCAGCGTATGAGCAATTTACAAAACCTGTTAATATTTTTTTTTTTTTTTTTTTTTGGCTGGCAACGGGTATAACTTGTAGCACAGCGAAGGCTACGGGAGCGAGGTCAACGCTGGGGAAGAAGCTTATCCAACTTGTTATGTCGTGCGGTGGAAGCAGCTTCCAAAGTCAGAAGCTGTGCTCCTAGCCTTCACTGTGTATTACATAAATAGTGTGAAGTGATCTTTAGTTCACCCTAACGAGGTCAGTAGAGCAGCAGTGCGATAGTGAAGTGCGATGCAACAGGATGCTGTACCCAGTGATAATATGACAACATTCCAGCGAGAAGCCGATGTTGGCTCGATGTTGCTACATTAGGCGACAGACATGCTTAGTAACAACATGGACTCTGGATATAATGTACACAACATGACAATGCTAGCGCTTAGAAATGATCGCGGGAAGGGGGGGGGGGGGGGGTCTGTTTTTGCTTTATTAGCGACTTGAGAGACCAAAAACGTCGCTGTGGTCGGCCTTCCAAGATTGGCCGAATGCTGACTATGACCTCATTAAAGGATTTCTCATCAACGGAAATAAGGGTAATGGAAGAACTTCAACTTTGACGGTTATGGCAGCGTTGGTTTTAGTACGCATAATTTCAAGCTTCCACCATGCTCATTACGAACACCATCGAACTTGTTGTTTGCAAAGAAATTACGTCACGAGAGGGAACCATAGGAGGGCGACACCGAAACATATCGCCGCCAACACTGTTTCATACGTTGTATACAACGCTGTCACAGCTACTGCCGCGACAGCGTTTGCGCAAAAACGCGTGCAAGTGATCTGCGAGATCAAATCCTGTGCTCGCGCCAGCAGCTTTGACAGCGTTGTACTCTAAGTACGAAAGTGTGATGAATATTTCTTTTTTGCGAAACCATAGCTGATCGGCAAAATTTAGTTCCCGCCAATATCATTTCGAAGTGAAATGTGAAAAAACACCGACGTTGTGTTCACGCTGTGTCGCCGTCTGCCTCGCTGCAATTGATTTGGGCGCGCAACACCATATTTAAGCGCATATTTATGATAATGTCTTCAAGACGACATTTCCGACAGTGCTTTATTATTTTTTTTTTACATCATACCTTAAGTAGACAACTGTACTATACAGTGTCAATTGTGCTATACAGTGTCAAGAAAGTGCAATGGGCAGTCGTCAAAACAAATGATAAGTGGATGCGGAACTCGAGACTGAAATAATAAAAAAAGAAAAGATGAAAAGAGCAGAGATATCTTATGCTCGTCCATTTTGTTAGTCAGAAGATATTTCGATTCAACATGGTATACACTGTTATTGCGGTGATCGGCACATATGAACCACGCTCCACACACAAAGAGCAACTTATCACAAATACCGATTTTATTTTTGCGCGGTTCGTACGAATATATGCATATTGCCCAGCCTCAACAAACAGAGTTTTTTAATTTCTCTAAGACGTGTGAAAAAAATTATAGCGAATCGAAGCCTTTTTTTTTTCCTATTTTGTAAGCAGAGGTTTTTTGGGTTTTTTTTTTTTTTTTGTTCTGTTTTTTCTAGTTGTTATTATTGTGTATAGAAGCAAACGCAAGCGCTGCGCGCTTGCGTTAGCGTTGCGTGCTCCAGCTGCGCACGCACGTCGTCGCCATGCGCCAATCTGAGACCGCAATTTCGGGCTCCGCTCAAGTGCAGTGTGGTACACGCAACGCTACCACAAACGCACAGTGCTTGCGTTTGCTCGTTTACTCACTATACTAAAGCTCCATGATGTTTTGAAAGTTTTCCGGTTATGTTCTGTTTAGCGAATTTAGCACCTCTTCGAAAGGTGCAATGTATAAAATTAAACGAATGAAACGAAAGAATGTCTAGCAATCACCGCTCACCGCACAACGTTCTTCCACCGCAGTAACTCCCGAACTTTTTTTTTCTTCTTTTTTTCCTCACGCGAAACTCGCTGCGTGTTCGATACGCACAACCGCGAGCTTCCGGGGTACAACCGGTCAACGAAACGCTGTCAACACTCCGACGTTCCAATCTCCTTAAGCCCAGAAGCAGTGTCATGAAAGTGCAGTGGGTTAGTCGTCAAAACAAATGATAAGTGGATGCGGAAACTCGAGACTGAGAATAGAAAAGGAAAGATGAAAACAGCAGAGATATCTCATGCTCGTCTATTTTGTTAGTCACGACATCTTTCGTTTTAACGTGTATACACACGGTTACCGACAGCATTAGTTGGAATTATAAATGGTAACACTGAAAAGACAAAATGTAACAAAAATAACATTCCCTTCCAAACAAAGGTCGGTTAGTGCTTGCTTGTTTTTAAAACAAAGTGAGGAAGAACACTGTTATCCACTACCGAAAGACGATACTCCGAGGGATTGCCACAGCGTTCATTGAGGCGTTCGCTTTATCCGAGTATGTTTGACGGAACCCGATGCGAGAAAGCCGTTAAATGACCAAGGTACCGGACTTACGTAACACAAACTGACAACACAGCGAGAAAGTCTATCCGTTGTTACTCTTAAGAATACCGCGCGAAAACTTTCAACCGCGATACACTGGGCGCACGTGTTAAACATGTTCAGACTATTTCGCCCTGGACGTCAATTTCTAACATTATGTCGACTCTTTCGATGCTCGACGGTAACCCATTAATTTGAACGGATCTTTTCGCGTCTACGAATCTAACCGACGCGTTTTATACGTAGCACCGTTAAACCAGGTTTGTCCCAGGCAAGCTTATAGTTTGGATATTTTATTGTTAACCTTCCCAGAAATTTGATAGAAAGATCGCGACGCCCAATTAATAAACGAACTTCCCGATCTTCGAGAACCCTTCGTGTTTGTTCGTCGAGGCTTCCCGTTCGATCCGTCGCCTTTGCCCCGCAGCTGTCAGCGTGAAAGCGGCGTCTCCGACAAGGATACTCTCCGAAGAATCTGGCAACCGACCATCAACACGCGCACGCGGGTTGTCGCGCCCCTCGGAGACCGCTTCCTCGGCGCTAAGTGCTCCACAGAAAAGGCGACAGATGCCCGTGAGCCCAGCGTGCCGCACGCGCTCGTGTCGCACGGACGCGCGTGCATCGCGGACCACCTCTCCGAGATGCGGGCACGTCCATCCGTCCGTCGCTCCAGAGCCAGATGCGCGCGCTCGCTCTCCGGGTTCAGGAAGTGGCGGTGCCCGCAGCTGGGAAGAGGCTCCGGAGAGGGACGGGCGCATCTCGGGGCTCACCTCTGAGATTGGGATTTGAAAATCCGGCGGAGCCCCCGAGCGTGGCGGCCAGCAGCAGAGCACACACGTGAGCGGCGAGTCGAGGCATGGTCGTCGAAGGGGGCTGGCACCGCGGAGGACAACAACAGAGTCGGTGGCCGGCCAGTGAGTCAGGGCGTAGCGCAGTCCATGCGCGTCCACTGGCACGACGGCCAACGCGAGAAAACAAGTTACGCGGCTGGCGGCAGTGGCGGCGGCCCGCTAGCGAGGAGGCACGTCGAGCGCCGGACCGTCGGGCTGTCAGCCAGCGGTCTCCCTGGGCCTTTGCGCGGACGCCGCGGCGCAAGGCGCTCAAATAAGCGACTCGGGCGGCGCCCCGCGGACGCCTCGCGAAGCGCGGTCCCCTTCGGCGTCGTCGTTTGCCCTCGCTCGCGCTCGCCTGCCGCGGCCCTGGGGCCTTTGGCTCCGCCGCGGACGCCTCTGACCCGAGGTCCGTCGCGGTCACCCGTCGTCGGCAAGGGACAGCTGGACCGGACGACTGAGAAAGACCTGTTCCCTGCAGAAGCTTTCTTTCTGCGATGGTCGGTTCTCGTTTGAAACTGCCCGGTTCGTTTCTGATGTCGCAGCGGTTAACGATTAATGAACTTGTGTTGAGAGACAGCACGCCCCAGCTCATTACTCGGTAAATAAAGACTCGAAAATTCTACGAGAAATGTCGTAGAAGCTGATTTGTAATATAGCCGCGACAGCACAACGGCGATATACTGCCCCAGAAAATTTCCCCATTATGGCATCGAGAGAATAGCATGCCACCGACCTTTGTTGAAGGGACACTGAAAAAGCTTTTGACTTGGTAATTTTGGAACTCTAGGATGATCTATCTGGCGCCACAAACTAAAGGGATTCAAAAAGGATCTGCATGCTTACCCGCTTAAGCACAATAAATCGCCAATCGCAAGAAAAGGGGCGTGGAGAGGCTATGAAGTAAAAGGTTAGTGTAGCGACCTTTTACTTCATAGTAAGCTATTATATGAAGCTATTATAAATGAAGTATATATAGTAAGCTATTATATATGAAGCTTTTACTTCATAGTGAGCTATGAAGTAAAAGGCGAGCGAGTGGCGAACGATAACACGCCTAGCCTCAAGGGCAGAGCGGAGTCAAGGCCGGGATAGCCCGCGCTCACCCAAAACCGCGAGGCGCTATCCCAAAACTATGTATTGTTTCTTTGCTCCTCCGCCTCTTTGCTCCTCTCAGCGCGAAAGAAACAAGCAGGATTAATATTTATTATTGTTTACATATATATATATATATATATATATATATATATATATATATATATATATATATATATATATATATATATATATATATATATATATATATATATATATATATATATATATATATATATATATATATATATACCAGCAAAATGCTCATGGTAATACTTAGCGGTTTCGTAGATTTTTGTTCTAGATCATGGATTATACCAGGGCGCCGTAAAAAAAATGAGATCTCTGAATTGTACCTTTAAGTATAGTTCGAGCTTCGTTTTTCGCTGAACCATGGATAATCAACAACGCTGTGCCTGACGCTAACAGCCCCAAGAAGTCAAAACGATTCATTGATAAGTTCAACATGTCATCAATGAGTACGTAGCCATAGGTCCAGCTGTTAAAAGCCCATATACCTGTATTGCAATGAAACGCCCCCCCCCCCCCCTCAAAAAAACAAAACAAAAGAAACAAAAAAACATCACGATAAAATTATGGTGTTTTCCAGTAATCTGTCGATCAGTACTGAATTCTGTCATTAGCTATATCAGCGTCACGTGCTCTCTTGTATACGTCCATGAAGCCAACTTCACCATGTTCTTGCTTGGAGTGAGAAAATAAAGTTTTACTAAATATTTTCGTTTTCCTCAGGTCTGAAGGCATAAGAACTTGTCACTTACCGATTTCGACCTGGGACAACTTCACTAACCGCCGTATGCAATGGTGTGAAACCTTAGTCACTTTTAGGAACCTGAATAACGAGTGAAGCTTTCAGCTTAAAGCCGGGGTCACGGCCCTCGAACATCGAGCAAAAGACGCGGAATTCTCCGCAGACATGATGACAGATTTATCTGCGGGCACATCTCAAGCGTGTTCCAAGGGAAGGGGAAAGGGGGCGGGGATAGGATGTGCTTTTGTTAAAACGAACGTGTGTATTCAGTCCGGACGCGCTACCTTCGCTGTGCTTTCCAAGAGTACCACTTCTACAATTTTCTCGCTGGTGTTCTCTCCAACTTTTTTCAATTCCGTGTTTCACATTTAGTGTGACAAAAAAAAAATATATATATATATCTAAGCACACAAGGTAATACTTTCCATGCCTGTATTCTCATTTTTTTTCTCCCTCTCCATCTCACACCCTAACATCTTGCACGCAAACAAGTAGTTGTCCTGCATTTTTTTTTTAAACTTATCTCGGTTTTACGAATCCAAGTAACTAATTCCATTTCACTCACCTCCTCTCCCCATTTTTCCCCACACATCAGATAAAATTAAATGTATCCCAATTACACATCCCTCAGCTCGCCACAACGCTATCTTTTTTCTCTTACTCTCTTTGTTGTTGTTGTTGTTTTTGTTTGTTTCTTTTCTTCTTTTTTTTTTTGCATACGGCCAAAGTATGTGTACCTTATTAAAGAGTGAGGTGGGCGTTTATTAGACAATGATGTCAATCAGCGCCTGGTGCTGGTTTAATACACTGTGAAATGAACGGAAGCGAAAATCATAAAAATAGAAGAGAGAAAGGTAAACGAAAAATTATAGAGGGAGAAAACACACAGCACCAAAGTAATAAAGGACTAAAAAAAAAACTAACGAAAATGTTTTACTAACAATTGTTATTGGCCATTGCTGTTCATCTACTCCCCTACAGTTTCTTCAGTAAGCGAGCAGCTGTTAGAAATTGCAGCAGAGCTTTCGTAGCTTTATACCCGTCAGCAGCAGAAATCCATGGACCAAGCAGATTACGAATGCTTACGCCTTGTTCATTTTGTAGCCTCAGGTCTGTCTTCATAAGCTCCCTTTCACGGCTGTAGTCCTTGCATTCACACAGTACATGTTCGATGTTATGTGTGACTCTGCACGAAGTACATTCAGACGACTCAGCTCTACCGATTTTATGAAGGTAGCTGTTGGTGTATGCCACATTCAGTCTCAAGCGTTGTAGGACCGTCTTGGCTGCCCTTGGTAGTCCTCGTGGTGCCAGAAATTTAAGTTTGGGATCGATAATGTAAAGATAGGAATAATGATATCGTGGATTTCTCCAAAAAGAAGATGCTATTTCTTGGCCAATATCTCTAATCAAGTTATTTGCATCTGACCTAGATAATGGAATTGACACAGTAATAGCGCTTTCATGAGTGCTTCGAGCGGCTCTGTCAGCGATAACATTTCCGGTTATACTAGAGTGATCAGGAATCCACGGTATAATAAACTGGTGCCCTTTGGATGAAGCTTGGCGAGCTGCTTCCAGAATATCGTGAGCGAGTTGCAAGTTCGGTCTACATTTCTTCATCGTAGAGGGGGTGTGTAGAGCAGATTTAAAAGTCCACAAAGATAGCCCAAAAACTAGGACTCTCGGCTCCCACGTGTGCAACAGCTGCTCGAACTGCTGCGAGTTCCGACGCTGTTGACGACGTAACGTGGCTCAATCTTGCTTGTATGCATGCGTACAGAGATGGAATATAGGCTCCCAGGGTTGATGATGCTGACATTGTAGACCCGTCGGTGAAGACATGTCTAAATGAGGCATAAGTTCGGTTTATGTATTCCAGCAATGTCTGCGTAATCACGGGGGCGGGCATTGTTTTCTTCGAAGCGATTCCCGGAATACTCGTTCTGCTTTCTAAGTGAGGGTACCTCCATGGTGGATAGCTTGGAATTACCGCAGCTTCAAAAGAAGTTGGGATGTAATCCTCCAAGCATGTGATAACTTGTGTAAAGCCAGATGATGGTCTCTCTGTTACAATATTTGTGAGCTGATGCTTATATGTACGAGATTTGTGACGAAGATGAGCTCTTAACGTTTCTTGCGTTCTTAAAACGGCTGGTGAAACCGCTTGTGCTTCTGCAAGCGATCCCAAATTAGAAGTGCCTTTCGGAAGCCCTAAACATGTGCGAAGAGCTTATGCTTGAATACTCTGGAGTTCTTTTAGAAGAGTACGTGAGATGTTATGCATAATAGGCAGGCTGTAGCGCAGAAGTCCGAGAAATAAGGCATTATAAAGGGCAAGGAGTGCGGAGACAGAGCCCCATTTGGTTCCACTAATCATCCTGATTATATTGGTGAAAGAGGAGAGCTTCTTTTTAAGCCGTTTTACATGGGGGCTCCAGGTCAGCTCCCTATCCAGAGTGACACCCAGGAAAGTATGTTCCGTGACATATGGAATTTCCTTTCCGTCTGTTTCAATTGGGTATTTGTCCGTGTGTTTTTTTGTGAATGCCATCGCCTTTGACTTGTCCGGCGATATGTGCAGACCTCGGAGGTGTATGTACCGTGCGGTAATGTTAATGGCTTTCTGCAGTCTTACTTTGTTGATGTAGAGAGATCTGCTGCAAGTCCAGAAGCAGATATCATCCGCGTATATAAACACGTGAACGGTTTTTGGGAGAATTTTTAGGAGACCTATGAGAGAAATGGCTAAAAAGCATGGGGCTGCGGACGCCTCCTGTGGCACACCCCTAGTAATATGATGAAGACCGGTGTTGCCGTCCTGTGTCGATATGTAGACTTCTCTTCCTTTTAGGTAATTGGCTATCTCTTTGTATACACGTCCTCCACATCCAACGGCCTTCATATCTTGAAGAATAGCGTTTTGCTCTACACAATCAAATGCCGATTTGATGTCCACAAATACAGCTGTTCGTTTTTTTATTTACTACCTTCATTTGTTCAATGCTAGTTTTACCAAGTCAATAACGTTGTCAATACTGCTCCTTCCGCGTCGAAATTCATTCATGCACGAAGGATATAGATCTCTATCTTCTAGATCCCATTCCATACGGGTAAGCAGCATTCACTCCATTACTTTCCCTATGCAACTTGTTAATGCTATCGGACGGTAAGAGTTAACGCCTAAAGGAGATTTTCCAGGTTTTAAGATTGGTAGAACCCGAGCAATTTTCCATTCCTTCGGAACAGAACCCGTTTCCCACGAGGAGTTAAATATTTGTAGCAGTGCGGTCCTCGCCCCCTCCCCCAAGTGGCGTGAGGCTGAATACCGTACACCATCCGTGCCTGGGGATGATATAACGTTACACGTCTAGAGCGCCATATCAAGTTCCT